TGCTCTAGGCTGAGTCTGATAGAGCTACATGGCCCTTCTGTTGCTGTGGAAACTGGCTGGCCATCCCAGGTTTCCTCCTGTGCCAGCCTGCCTAGGACCCGCCCACCCGCTCTTCTCCTTCTGTGTTCAGCACACTTACCCAGACAGATGTGAACGGGAGGCCTCGCTGCACCGAGAGGAACCTCGCAGGGCTGGGTAAAGAGCATTTTGACTCAGCTCTCCACGGGCCACACTGTCAGTGTGTGTGGGAAGGCCACAGGTCCCGCTGGGGAGCACAGGCCTGTGGCATGCCCGGTGGGGATTTCACCTGCATGCTGACTTCATTTCACTCCCTCCTGGATAATAGCAGTCTGGGGAGATCTGGGGTGAAAAGTTTTCCAAGTTCCCTTGCCGCGTGTGGGTGAGGGGTTAGAAGGATCCCAGTCATGGAGACAACAACTCATTTCAACCCTCAGAGTCATCATTACCCGGAAACCAGGTCTTCCATGTAAGAATGTTCTGGGAAGAGTGGCCTGCTGCGTGTGGTGTGGCGGGCCCATCTCACGGCAGCCACAAGGAAGGCCACACCCCAGAGCAGAGGCAGCACAAAGTATGAAATAGATTTGAGTTAGTTCTGTCTGAGGATCAGATTCAAGGGGTGACATAATTACGCTTTCATTTAGTTCATCAAAGTTTCCAATTGTTTCTGAACTAATTTCCACCCTTTGGATCGGACATATAATACTCCCTCGTGTACATTTATATTTTATACCACTGACATTTGCATCCCAGTGCACGTTCTGTGTCTGTGATCTATATACTCTGATTCAAAGGAGGTCCTCAGCTACCCGCCCCCCCCCCCCCACCCCCGTGAAGACTGCTGGACGGGGCTGCACATGTGGGAACTAGCAAGGAAAGTGCCCGGGCTCCTCACTTTTCCTGGAGGCAGTGCAGAACTCACTGCTCTGTCTGCTGCTCCACTCAGTGAATTTGGGATCCCCCTAGCCCTGAGATACAAAGTAGGGATTTGGGGAACAAGAGGAAATCTACTTGATGAGAAGATTGCAAAGCTCCCTGCCAGTAGCAGCAGCTTCAAGTATACCAGGAAGGAAAGCTCCTACTGTGAGTGCAGAATGGGAAAATTGACACCACTATGGAGACCCTACTAGTTGTCCTCAGTTGGAGTGATACTGGGCACCAGGTCCAGTGCCCTCAGCAAGTGAGAGAACAATTGGCTACCAAGCCATGCACCAGTCCAGTAGTAAGGAAGGGCATCTCAACACAGCCACTAAACAACCCGCATGAACACTGAGACTTTTTCAACCAAAAACTTCCAACCAATGACTAGACCTCAGGTGCACAAATTCCAGTGCACAAACAGAATGAAAAATTAGATAATATTGACTCTTTCCAAACTCAACAACTCTACAGTAATAAACTAATGCAATCTCAAAGAATTCAAAAGAATGAATATAAGAATGATTTGTAGAATTAAAGAAGAGAGAAAAACTTGGATTCCAAGGAAACCCAAGGAGTGCAATGAATAAGGGAGAAAATGCAGGTGCCAGACATGGAATCAACAAAGACATTGAAACTCTGTACATATACAGCTTAGTACATGAAAGGTGAAATTGAGTTGAAAACCTGATCAACAGACTAGATCAAACTGAAGACAGACTATCAGGTGTGAAGACAGAGTGGTTAGGGTAATTATTTTAGAACATACAGCCAAAGATTAAAAAAAAAATCTAAAGATGTATGAATGCACATACAAGACTTCTAAGACACCATTAAAAGACCAAATCATAGGCATAATAAGAGGAGAAGAGGTTCAAGGAAAAGGTATAGAAAATCAGTGAAACCCAAAAAGAAATGGTCATCCTGGTACCACAAACAAGACCAGACTTGTCCACGGTGTATTTTTCTGTCAGTCATGAGGCTTGAACCCAGGGGCCTGGATGCTGTCCCTGAGCAATTCTGCTCAAAGCTAGCATTCTACCACTTTGAACCACAGCTCCACTTCTGGTTTTCTGGTGGTTAATTGGAGAAGAGTCTCATGAACTTTCCTGTGTAAGCTGGCTTCGAAATATACACCTCAGCTTCCTGAATAGCTCCGATCACAGGCATGAGCCACCAGTGCCTAGCTCACTGTGCATTATTACTAAAACATTAGTTACAACAAAGAAAGAATATTACAAATTGCAAAAAAGAAATAAGTCACATATGAAGTCAGAACCATCAGCATAACAGATTTCTTTTTTCTTAGTCGTGGGGCTTGAACTCTGGGCTTGGGTGCTATCCCTTAGCTCTTCAGCTCAAGGTGAGCGATCTACCACTTGACCCACAGCGCCACTTCCAGTTTTCTAGTGGTTTATTGGAGATAAGAGTCTCATTGACTTTCCTGCCAGGGCTGGCTTTGAACCATGATCCTCAGATCTCAGCCTCCTGAGTAGCTAGGATTACAGGCGTGAGCCACTATTGCCCAGCACAGATTTCTTAATAGACACTTTAAAAGCAAGAAGAGCATTAAGTGATGTCTGGCAAAACTTCAAATAAAATAACTGTCAAACTAGATCACTCATCAGTTTATCAATGTATCATGATTATTAATGATGCCACTATAAAGATTAAGATACAGTGTATTTGTGGGCCCAAGTTTTCAGTTAATTTGGGTAAAATGCAGACATATGGCTATTGCATCGTAAGATCACGGGGTTAAGGATAAGAAGCTGGACACTGTTTTCCTGAGTATCCCACCTACAATCCCGTGAAATCCTTGTAAGCGCACCAGCATTATTTGGTGTGGGTACTGTGGGGAGGGCATGTGCTCCTAACTGCAGTCTTACTTTCGGTGTTCCCTAAACATCTTTTCCCTGTGTCTGTCAGCTGTGAAGACTCTGTTCAGTGTTTTCTCTTCAGCAATCAGATGTATTGTTTGCTCCTCTCATGGAGATGCCTTCTTGGCATTCCAATGGCTGCCCGGTGCTCTTTGATGGGAACTAGTCAGCAGAATTCCAGTTTCTTAACTCAGTGCTCTGACTATGCTCTGATCATTTGAAAATGTAGAGAATATGCTAACTATGTCCTCCCCACTGTTTACCCAGAAGAAAGCAGGAGGAATGATTGAATGTAAGGTATCTGGTTTTGCAAAATTTCCCTGAGAGTTCTTTTAAAATACTGAAAGACTTATAATGTTAGCCACAACCTGATAAAAGCACAAATTGATATTATTTATGTCATCATATCATTTACTAATTAAAAAGAACATTATGAGGCCCTAAATTCCATGTCTTGAACATGTATCAGGCTAAGTAATTTCTGTGCACTACATTACTGTTTAAATCAGGGATTTGCAATAGTATAAACACATTATCTAGAAAGTTAAAAGGTTAGAACTACTTAAGAAAAGGTTCCACCACCAACAATCACAGGGTGGAAAATGGCTGAACCCATACCAGGATAATCTCTCTTTTTTTTGCAGAAAGTAAAAATAAGATTTGGACCTGTATAAAGATATTATTTTGTTCAGCACAAGTTTACTGTTTTTAATTATTAGAAAATACTACTTTGGAAAATTTACAATCTCTTGACTTAATTTTCTTTTTTAATTTCAGAGTGATTATTTTTTTCATGGTTGACCACAGATCATTGAAAACAATGCGCTGTATAAAGTAGACAACAAAATTTGCTACTTTAATAATGTCTAAGGTACAACTCATTGGAGTTGGTATATTCACATTATGAAGCAATAATTAGCACATCCACCTCTGGAAACTTTTTCTTTCTGAAATGATGTTGTGCCCACTAAAGAAGAAATCTCACTGGGCGCTGATGGCTCACACTTGTAATCCTAGCTACTCAGAAGGCTGAGATTTGAGGATCATGGCTCAAAGCCAGTCTGGGCAGACAGTGAGACTCTGATCTCCAATAAACCACCAGAAAACCAGAAGTGATGCTGTGGCTCAAGTGGTAGAGTGCTTGTCTTGAGATGAAGGGCTGAAGGACAGTGCCCAGGCCCAGAGTTCAAGCCCCATGACCACCACCACCACCACCAACAACAACAAAAAGAACTCCCCATTCTCAGTATCCCCTGGCCATTCTATTTTCTGTTTTATGAATCTTACTGCCTTCTATAAGTAATTTCAAGAAGTGACTAATTTCAATCAGCATTATATCTGGAAGCTCCATCTGTGTTGAACCATAGGCCATAACTTTTGTGAATCTTACTAATGTTTTACCCTATGCTCCGGGCCAATTTGTTCATGTCATTGGACTATTTCCCCATCAGTGAGTGTGATTATAACAAGTCAAGTACTATGAGCATTGATGCAGAAATAATGTACACCCCTGCTTGAAACCCCATGGCTTCCTATGCTGGATTATATGGTAGTGATTCTGTTCATGCTCCTGGTGAGATGAAATGGAGATCACAAAGACTACTGAGTTAGCCGTCACCATAACCTCGCACCTATCTATTCACAGTGTGACTCGGCTAGTCCACTTCCTGCTGCTGGAACTAAATGCCTGAGACAGTCAACGAGAGACACATATTTTCGCTCAAGGACTCAGTCCATGCTTTCTTGGTCTTGTTGTTTTGAGCCTGTGGTGGCGCAGTAACCAGAGCAGAGTGATAGGGTAAAATTTCTTCTTTCTTATATATGAGAAACAAAAAGAGGGAAGCAGCTAGTGTTCTATTCTTCCATAATAGGCACTGGCCAGCAGCTGACCTCCTCTCTCCAGGGCCCACCCTCTTAATAGTGTCTTGTGCTAGAGAAAGCTCAAACATGGTACGTTGGGGATAGTTCAGGTCTGAACTATAGCAATGGGCTAACCTGAGTTTTGATAGGTTCCCATTGAAGACCCATTTAGAAAAAAAATGTATTTCAAGACAGGTACGTTTTGATTATCTTTATATATTTGCCATTCATACATACAAAGTAAGTTTAATGGGAAAAGCACAACTTCCTATTAGAGCATACGGTATATTTCATTCTCAGTTATTCTACAGCCAGTTCATTCCACTACCTTGAGACTATATCCATTCCTGAATAGACATTTACTGTCCTTCCCCACACGGTTCTCACAAAGATGATCACACGCTTGTCAGTACTGATCAACACCAGTGGACTGACTGCAGCATAGCTACGGTCCACCAGAATAACAACATAGTACAGAACTAGGTCATTGTTCCACATAATTCTTGAAGCAGAGATGCTGTAGTCTAAAATGGACATCACCAGAAAGAAACTGGTGAGCAGCAGAATGGTCCGGGTGGCCCTTTGCTCTGGGGATGCTTTCAGAGAAATGCTGGCACTGTGAAGATACTGGGACCGCCTCTTGTGCCTGCACAGGAGAAGGACCATGTACCCATTAGAGAGGAACGTGAGGCCCATGAGGAGGAATTCCCGGAAGGTCAGAAGCGAGGAAAACACCTGCCTGAGAGTGTAAGAAATGGGCAAGACAGAGCAGGATTCAGTGACATAGATAAGGCTGTCTGAGGTCAGATTGGGGGTTGCGATGATGGAGATGAAGATGTGACTGCTCACTGACATGTACAAGACCCACAGCACAACAAGCGCACACAGGGAGGGATGTGGGGATTTGCGCTTGAACTTTGCCAAACAGGAGCTTCTGGGGCTGAGGGTGATGGCCTGGAGGACACTCAGCAGGCAGGTGACACAAATAGACAGGCCCCTGACCAACCTGTATAAGTAGACAAGTGATTTACACATGATGCTATTCCAGAAGCCCTTCCAAGGCATAAAAATGTCTGTAGCTATGATCCCCATGATTATCAGCATCATTAGGTGGGTGAGGGCCAGGAGCCCAATGAATAGGTTGGTGGGACTCAGCATGTGTTCAAGAAGGAAGAAGAAGATGTGGAAGAGAAGAAGAATGATGTTGGTCAAGATTCCAATGGCAACTTCAGTGAAAAGAGTGCTTCTTATAGCACCATTGTGGTATAGTTTGTATTTAATCATCTTATATGACAAAGAAACATATATTGGATGTCTGTGGAGAAAAAGAATGTTTTATTATGACAAATATAACCACTAGTTAATCATAACTAACATCGATTACTTTGTCAAAATATGTGGATCAACATGCTAGATAAGATAGCCAAGTTCAGAAAGACGAATATCACATGTGTTGGCTTGCATGTGGAATAGAGACAAAATAGTAATATAATCAAGTGAAGGAGAAAAAGAAAAAGGAAGAAGGAAAGGAAGAGTAGGGAGAAGGAGGAGGAGGAGGAATAGGAAACACAGGAGGAAGAAGAAGAGGAGGAAAAAGAAAAAAGAGAAATAAGAAAGAGGAGGAAGCAGGAGGAGGAGGAAGAAGACAACAAGGAGGATGTGGAGGAGGAGAAGGAATGAAAACGGAGGAAGAAGATATGACAGTAAGAGGCTGACTATCTGAAGGGAACCAGTGGGAAGAGGCGGGAGAAAGGAGCGTGTGAAGGGATCAAAGGACACGGCATGTGTGCATGAAACTAGCATAAAGAAACCACTAAAAACTTTTAAGAGAGGGAGGTGGAGGATCGGAAGTTAAGAAAGCGTGATTCAGAGCATGAATGCAATCACAGCACATTAAATGTTTTCACACACGTTTCCATTAATACTCAAGTGAATCTCACGCCTCCGGAAGTCATACCACTTCCAGATTGGGCAGATATAGACACACATTGCTGGGCTCCCTAGCTACAGAAGATCACTAGACATTAGACGTTGTGTGCTGCGGAACTTATTTCCTTTCATTCTGTCATTCGTGAGCTTTTTCTGGGTTGAGAGCAATGTTTCCGCCGGGCTTCATATGCAGCATCTTTTTCTGTACTGGGCAAGAATCTGCCTTTGTGTGCAGGCAGGCAATCACTCTGTCACTCCCATACCCCAACATCCAATCTGCATCGCCTTGGGTGCAAATATATAGTGCGTGCTCTACAATTTTGGTGAGTTAGAATGAGGATTGCACAGAAGTGGCAGGGAGACCTCTGCAGCAAAAGGACTCCACAGTTGGACACACACAGGGTTATTCCCTGTTCCCCGGTGCACTTAGTGTCAGACCCAACGTCCTTAATATATGAACAGAGCAAGGATTGACACAGGTAGACGGTGAAGATAGGTGGCCTGAAGTCATACCTAACACCTGCCATTTGCTACCAGCATAAACTTGAGTAGCTCTACAGTAGTGAGCTCCAGGACCTTTCTCTGAACACTACGAAGTAACTATACATCTTATATCGTCATCAGTGTGCCAGAACAATTTTCCTATGTGAGCAGCGTCTTGTCAAACATTCATCAGCACTTATGCCAAAGTCTTTCCTAGGAAGGCAGGTGGAGCCAGGGAAGTTTGTGGAGCCACAATTAAAATAGATTCAGGCTATTCCGCTTCCAGGGGTGATTAAAGACAAGTCTCCAATCAGCCATGATATTCTCCCAGGAATCTCCCTTTCAGGGGGCTGACATGTTTCCAGTCTCAAGAGGCCCACGGATGAATTCTCTGACATCATTTGATGATGGTGGACTTGTGTAGTATCTCTGTAACATAACTATACAGTTAAGCCTTTAAATATGAGATATAAAGATATATCGTGGAATTACTGCATGGTCCCTTAAATCACTGGAACACAGCTCTAAAGGAGATTTGGAGAAGTCTGTGTGCTTGTGATAGGGTTCACTGAGTCTGGACATCAATTCTGTACCACGTAAAATATACACTGACAGTGCTTTAAAAGAAAACAGGTACACACAAGGATTTAACAAGTGGAATTCTAACTGTTCTAAAATTAAACACTGGAGCCTTACAAACACAAGGCACGTGCTGGTGGCTCAGGTCTGTAATCCTAGCTACTCAGGAGGCTGAGATCTGAGGATCGTGGTTTGAAGCCAGCCCGGGCAGGAAAGTCCCTGTGCAACTCCTTTTTTTTTTTTTTTTGGTCGGTTGTGGGGCTTGAACTCTGGGCTTGGGCTCTATCTCTGAGCTCTTCAGCTCAAGGCAAGCACTCTACTGCTTGAGCCACTGTGCCACTTCTGGTTTTCTAGTGGTTTATTGGAAGACTCTCACGGAATTTCCTGCCCGGGCTGACTTTGAACTGTGATCCTCAGATCTCAGCCTCCTGAGTAGTTAGGATTAAAGGCATGAATCACCGGTGCCCCGCTTCCCTGTGCAACTCTTACCTCCAATTAATCACTCAAAAAAACCTGGAAGTGGCCTTATGGCTCAAGGTAGAGAGCTAGCCTTGAGCACAAAGAGGCTCAGAGACAGTGCCCAGGCTCTGAGGTCAAGCCCCACAATCGATCAAAAAATAAATAAATACAACTCTTCATAAAACTCTAGCAAGTTTCAGCTGAGAACTGGGGCTGCGGGACGTTGTTGTGTTCAAAGGCAAGCTTATGAAATGCTCTGGGGTGGAGGCCGGGGCAGCGCCCTGAGCGTCGGGAGGCGGAGGATGGGCTGCCTCGGCACGGCCCAGCATGGCGGGGACGTCTGCGGGGACAGACTGCAGCATGGAGAGAGGGAGGGAGGCACACCTGCTTCTCGTCTGCAGTATGAACATAATTGCGCTTATCCGCTGGGTAAATAAAGATGCTACTGCAGATGATATTCAGGAGAGTGACAGAACTCATGTCTACCCAGGCACACCACAAAGCACACACGTTCCTGGCACCACCACAGCTCCGCTTCACCACTGACACCACCACCATAACCTCACAAACGAAGGCGACCCTGCCAGCCTCACACCGGTGACCCTGGAAACTAGAAGAGCACCTGGGGGAGATGGCTCCAGCCTTTGGAAGGAAAAACACCCGCCAGACACCAGCCCTGTGCCCAGAAAGGCCACAAGGGAAGCCCGGCCAGGTAATGGGCAATAACCAGAGAAATGTCCGGAAAATGGTTGGTTTTTCAGCTGGTTCTGAAAAACAGGATGAGAATGTGCACGACTTCGCAAGCTGACAGAATGGTAAAGAATAACTCAGGGCTCACACTTGGATGATACAATATCTACAGCATTAATGTGTGAAACTGCTCTGGGAGACGTCCATAGAAGAGTTCTCGATAGGGAAGACCGGAAGCCGGAGGAGTGCCATCCCTGACAGGAGGCTGTCGCCTGGGAAACCCAGACAGACCTGCAGACAACCTGCTTCCTGAGAAGCCCAGGGATGAATCAGAGGCAAACTGCATTCTTGCTAAACAGCCTTGGCCTTCCCTTCTTATCAAACTCACTGCATTGGTTCATATTTATCCATGCATACAGATATGCTCATGAAAACATAGTTTGGAAAAAAGAAAACCTCAGCAGAGAGAGGACGGGGCACGATTTTTCTCCATTCTCCTTCAAGTGCATGCATTAAGGCATATCCATTATTACAGCTGAGGGAAGAGGTATTTCTAAATGAGTCGTGCACGGAGGAAATGTTACAGGACTCACATTCCTGCTCCACGGCTCACAGGAATTACACCCCTGGGTCTGTGGCGGTCAGAAGAGACTGCCACCTCTTCCCTTGGCCTGTGTAACATGCGCTGCCCTGGCCCCAAGCTCCACACCACTCTCACCTGACATTGCTGACCGAGTCGGGTACACACTGAAGGCCAACTCCACTGATCTGTAACTTATGAAAATAAGATGGGGACAAGGAAGATTTCCTCAGAGCCAGTCCTGTAATCCTAGCTACTCAGAAGACTGAAACCAGTTTGGGTTGGAAAGTACAAGAGACTCCAGCTCCAATTAACCAGCTAAAAGCTGGGCTAGAGGCATGGCTGAAGGCAGAGCACCAGTCATTAGCAAGCAAGCCAAGCAAGAGCACAAGACTGAGTTGAAGCCTCAGTACCAGACAGAACCACATGCACAAGATTGCAGGAGCTCACGCCGGTCATCCCAGCTACTCAGGAGGCTGAGATCTGAGGATCGCAGTTCAAAACCAGCCCAGATAGGAAAATCTATGAGCCTCTTATCTCCAATTAATCAGAGAAAAAGCCAGAAGTGGCACTGTGGCACAAGTGGTAGAACACTGGCCATGAGCAAAAAAGTTGCTCAGAGATAGCACCTAAACCCTGAGTTTAAGCCCCAGGACTGTCAAACAAGCAAGCAAGCAAACAAACAAACAAGATTGCAAGAGAACTACTAAGAAATATCTGCGGCAGTATGAGGTTAGGCTCCATGCGACGAGGTCTTGAACAAAGGACCTCATTTTCTTCTAAATAATCTAGAATTACTTGTTATTGTCCTACTATAACATACACACATCGTTAACTGTTCTGACATGTGAAGAGGATTCAACCTGAGAATATTTAATAATCATGTGAAATGAAGACATGGTTTTCCAGGTAATATGTATATGAATAGCGTTTACCAGTTTAAAACTCCTACATAATAAAAGGAAATTAAGCATTTGGGTGCAAGTCAATTAAAATCATGTAAGCCAGAAAAATAGAAATTGCCTCTTACCTAGGGAAAGAGTCTACTAAAATTATGAACTACCAAATTTAAGGTCTAGATGTCCTAAGAAGAAATGTTCCGTCTGCATTCTAGAGGACATGTCCTCTGAGCCATGAGGACTTTCAGAGAGGGAGGCTGAATCTGAGGCCCGACACCGAACACGCACTTCCCTTCCCGTCCCGCACAGGGGCCCCACCTGCCCGTCACCCTCCACCTGACACACAGAGCAGCACCGACCTGCAGCACGAGGGAGTCTGTGCGCTGAGAGGAGCCGCGCAGCTTTAAGGGCGTGAGGTGGTTGGCTCATCCCCCTGCAGCCTCTAATTTTAGTCCTCTGTCAGTCAGTGACAAGGTCTCGCCGGGGAGCGCAGGCCTTGGCGCCCCCAGTGGGACCTTTCACCTGCTCGCGGTTTACTTCCCTCTCTCCCAGACACGGCGATCCGGGGAGAGCTGTGCTCAGAACTTTTCTCTAGCTTCCCTTGCCACATGTGGGAGAGGGAGCAGAGGAGTCCCCTCCGGGGAGAGCCCCAAGTGCTCTTGTTG